GCACTGTTCTGCACCCATGCCCTTAAGGAAAGTTTTCCAGGGGATCCCACTCAGCAGCTCCTTGAGCAGCCGGCAGTTTGCTCTCCTGAAGCACAGGGTCCTAGCTCTGCTTTTAGCCAGGCCCGCATTCCACCAGATCACAAACTCCACCAAGGCATGGTCACTACAGTCCAGGCTGCCTCCAATCTTGACCTCTCTAATGCTCTCCTCCACATATTTGAGGACCAGGTCCAGTAGGGCCTCTCCTCGGGTGGGGCCATCTATTACCTGGAGACTCCAGGAATCTCCTGGATTGTCTGCCACCTGCTGTGCCACTATGCCAGCAGATATCTGGGTGGTTGAAATCCCCCATCAGGACAAGATCCCGCACACAGGACACCTCCTGCAGCTGGAGCAAAAAGGCCTCATCAACAGGCTCCCTCTGATCAGGTGGCCTGTAGCAGGCCCCGACCACTAGATGCCCTGTACTGGATCGATCCTTGATTTTTACCCATAAGCTCTCAACCTGATCGTGGCTGTTCCTCAGACACAGCTCTTCACAATCTATCCACTCTTTGACATAGAGGGCAACTCCCCCACCCCTCTTACCTTGCCTATCCCTTCTGAAGAACCGATACCCCTCAATGGTGGTATTCCAGTTATGGGAGTCATCCCACGATGTTTCTGTGATAGCAACAAGGTCATAACTTTCCAAGTGCAACATGGTTTCCAGCTCTTCCTGCTTATTTCCCAGGCTGTGTGCGTTAGTATAAAGGCACTTCAGCTGGGTTTTCTGTCTCACCGTTTCTTTTTATTTCAGTCTTTATTTGCTTTTAGTCCCTTTGCAACTTTGGCTAGTGATGGAAGATGATAGGATAGTGGAAGACCACTTTTCATACCATAATTTCCCAAGCTAGCATGTGTTCTCACATCTGTGCTCACTATACTCTCTGATGAGCTTGTTTAAAGAACTAAGCTAGCAGAAAGCTAGTTGCTTTTGTAGGACTAGGGGTTTTTTTGTTGTAGGACTAGTTTTTGCTGTTTAGATCCCTTAACCAATTTCCCCATAAGGTTAGAAGATTGCCAGACATAGTATGTCCCTGCCCTAGCACTCTCTGCATCGTGTCTGGTTATGCAAATGTACTCGTGAGTCTTATATGATGCAAGTTAGTTTCAAGCTCTGAAGTGTTTTCTGTTAAGATAACTGAAACAATATGGTGAGAACTCATGCCATTTTTTAGGGTTTGTTTAATGGACAAACGAGCGGCATTTGGTTGATAAGCACTTCGTGCAATTGTAAGATTCTGCCTCCCCCCAACCTTCCCCGCCTCTCTATTCTTGTAGTCAAGGGACAGAATACTTAAGCTGATTGTCAAGTATTGCATTTTGAGAACTACCAATAGGTTTCCCGTATCTCCTTCTGACAGTACTTTTTCAGTATTTTGTTCAACAACAAATTACAGCATTTCCCCAGATGGCTTTAAGCTTCAGTTTATTGTACCCACGGAGTCAAAAGACTAGTTCTTCGATTATTCCAGAGCTAACTCTACCAAAGTGTAACTGTTCAGGTCATCTGCAGTTCTTTAAAAATGACTAATTAATTAGTAATTTTAGATTATTCTGTATTAAACATGGGGGAAGTAGGTTCCAACTGGATAGTTTGTACTTCGCCAATTGTAGTATGTTATGGGAGTTACAACGGAAAGAGTTATCCTTTGTCTTTTGTATTGGCACAGAAAGGTTTAACTACTGTATCTCCTACAGGACAGCGTTGCATTGCTAGAAGCTAACTAGTTTAACTCAACACTACACATAACCTTCTGTGAAACAGGCTCTTTTCACTTCCTTGTCTGGAAGAGATAGTGACAAGGTGCATTTCCCTATTCTGTGTGACAGATTTACCCATCTTTCATCATGGGTTAAAATAGTGATCTCTTATAGAGGCTGATAGCTCTAAAGCATTCATAATACAATTAAGACCTTTGTATTCTAGACTTTAATATTTTACAACAATGTTAGCCTTTAGCATAGATGGAATTATGTTTCCAGTTTTGGGTGGTTTTTGCAAATTTTTAATTTGCTTTGTTTCTCTAAGATTAACATTTTTTAATATTAAGCACATTCTTGTAGTTATTTTGGGTTTCCATGTTGATGCTTTTAGAATTTGTGGAACGAAAGGTTGAGTTTTATGTGCAAGAATGCACAATTCCTGGAGATTGTTTTAGCACTCAGCTGGTATCTTTAATCCTCAGATTTTGTACCCACAACTCACTGATTCTGTTTGACTTGTATATTAGTGATGGGTGAAGGATCTGAGAGCATCTGAGGTTTGAGGGTTTTTTTTAAAGAATCTTAACAGCTGGCTGATACTTTTGTTTAGTAGCAAAAATTATATATTCTGTCATTCATAGTAGTAGTGCACTTGTGTGGACAAAAATATTCTTTGCTCTATTTCAGAGGACATGAGCGGTTACAAATCTAGTCAAACAAATAGGAATCTTATCTATTGCTGTTTCGAGATGGGATAAATCTAAGTAGTATCTTTGATTCTAGTGTTGACTCCATGGTGCTAATTATTCAACAGGTGAATTTGATTGGTTTAGAACCATATAAATATCCTTAAGTCAAGGGCTTAAAAAACTTTCTCATGTTAACCTCATGATATTTCACATAAGAATTAAATTGTATCTTGCTTTGACCATGTCATGAATTTATTTCTAAATACATTTTTTTGAATGTGCTTGATTTGATTATCCTAACATGTACTTAGATTCAGACCAAGATTCCCTGTTGGGTGACTGAGCATGCAAATTCTAAAGTTTTCTGCTCAACATCTTAGGCAAGACATACTCTATTTATATTGCTTGGTGTTTAAAAACAAACAAAAAAAAACCAGTTTGGCACTTTCAAGACCAAGCTCTGGGTACAGCAGATGAAGTACCACGTGTAATGATCTAAACTAAAGTTTGTGAGGAGTGGAATAACGGTTTTCCAAGTTATGTAGGTTAAAATTGGTGTTCTGCAGAAAAGAACTGATATGTAAAGAGTGGTCTGGTCTGAAATAAACATTAGCTGACTAACTTGTATTTTAATATTGTATGTACACTGTAGATTGCTTTCTGTTGATGCTTGAAAGCATTCCCTCCCTCAATAACCTTAGCTGTACATAAGTGCTGTTTCACGTTTTTTAAGCAGCATTGGCCGTTACGAGATTCTGTTGTACATATTTTTCCTGTTCTTTCCACAGTGGGAGCCGTCTAGGAGGTCTTGTTACCGTGATGTGTTTCTTTTTCAACCATGGAGAGGTAGGTCTCCCTCCCCAACCACCCCTTTCACCCTCCACCCCCCCCTTTTTTTTTGTTTAATTTAAGATAATTCTCCTTTCATTAAAGATAGTGGTGTTGCTTATCTATTAGGAGATTAATTTAAAGGGATAAGACATTATTGAAAGCAAAATAGGCTATGACTCAAAATATGTCACCAATGTCCAATGTGTCACCTTGGATGTTAAAAAATAATTCAGAAAGTGGTCCTGAGATTGAAAACCTAGTAGCACAATGACTTTAAGTTTGAAAACATCAAAATATTCAATTTTTGTACCTGTTCCAGACATAATTAGGCTAGATGTACCATACTGTGAAGGTGATAAAGTATAACTTCAGAAAGGAACAAGTTGAAAACTTCAAAGGTAGTGGTAGCAATAATTTCACTGTGGCACAGGCAGTTCTTCTGTCCGTAGAAGGTTCTGTAGGAGAGCTCATCTTTCTCTGTGGATGACTTGACTCAGGGGAAAAAACACAGATAACTTATGTATTTTGGAGTATGGAGTGCAATCAGGTCTGCATAACTCTACATAGATGTAGTCTGGGTTTAGGTAGAGCTTAAGTAGGGTGACCCTGATTCAGGCTCAGCTGTATGGATTTCTGGAGAGCAATAGGACTTGCAGAGGTGCATTGTTAGATTCCCAGCTGTCTCTTTGCATTTGTACTCTACCTAATGAAGTAACTCTGAGTTGTTTGATATTGTTGTATATATAGAGTATGGTAACATATACAGTTACATGTGTGTAGGTGCTCTAGGTTCACTCTACGTGCTGTTGAATCATCTGCAAGGGGTGTGCATATGTGTGTGTGTATGAAAAACTATTTAACTCTTTGATAACTCTTTGATATACCTTTCCTCCTTTGATTCTGTGGAAATCATCTTGCATGTGGTTCCACAGGACATACACTGGATCTAGACCAGTTGATAAAAATTTACTTTCCTTTTATGGAAGGATGGGACTGAACTAAATGAGTAAGCCTGTTCCTGGTGTCTCTTAGATCTAATGCTGTGTAAAAGTGGTTAGCCTTCTGGCACTGAGCTGATGGCCCTTAGGCAGTATGTTTTTATTTGTGCTGTGCTTGTGCTACTCTGTTTTAATGCTTTCAAGCTTAGATCTGATGTGTTTATACCTGCAGCAATGTTAGTTTACAGCCTTGATAAATCATCCACAGATGATTTGGTTTAGTTATTACATTCCAAAAATACATTATTGGGGTTAGTTATTACATTCCAAATATAGCATGGGCTACGTTAGTCAATCCACTTTTAAGGTAATGCTTCCTTTTTATAATTGTATATGCTCATAATTTCTTTCCTATCTATCTCCTCCATTATCAAAAGATTTGATAAATCAAATGTTGCTGTAGTCTTGAAAAATAATCAAAAAGACTACACTGCTTTAGAGTAATCGTGATTATATTTATTGCTAATAAAAATAATTTTAACTAATAATTTCTGTGCAGTCAGCTGAAGACAACACATTAGTGTATATATATATTTATGAAAGGTTTATTTTAATGGTAGAGTTCAGCTTTTACAGAGAGTGCTTTTAGACAGCAAGGACCGTGATTAATGTGATGGACTTCTATACTTTGCATTTATTTTACACTACTTCTGCACATGTATTTTACACTGCTAATTTAACATATTTGTGAAATAGCATGACAATAAGCAAAGAATTGTATAATGTTGATTCCAGTGACTAATTTGGTAAAACAGTATTTTAAAAAATGGTTTTAAGATTATAGGAAGTGAAGGAGAGGGAACATCCTGGCATCAACATGCTATAAGCTTTCATAGGTTCATTATGGCCCACGTTAAGATGAGCTGTTTTTGTCCTGTAGTTGTAAAGAGCCTACTTCTAATTTTTAGTGCATATCTGTTGATAGTCGTTTTGAACCCATTTGTTTGCATGTCAACGTTGTCCTGTAAAGTTGTAATTATTTCTTTGATGATCAGTGCCATCTGCAAGCACTTTATAAAGAGCTGAATATAAACATTGGAGATGACAGTTATAGCTGAGCCATTTGCCATGAACCCCAAGCAATTAATGAAAAAGCTATTCAGTTGACTTCATTGTAGTATACGTTGCTTTATTAGGGTTAAAGAGCAAAGTATGTAAGTTAGTAGAAGCTCTGTAAGAGCTTAATTTCATGTGTTCAATTTTGCTGCCCTGTTTTTGAGTGCAGCTTCAGATTTTATGCTTTCTGTGCTGTTGCTAGTAGAAATATGAAATATTTATAACCTAGAGAACTCTAGCATAATGAAGAGTATGTTGGTTTATCCTTCAGATCATCTCCCCACACACTTTCTCCTTCTTAAGTGTGGCAAGTCACTGCCTGAATTTGAGACTGATTTTAGTTTCCTGAATGAGTTGTTAATTTCAGCAGAAGCAGGGACAAGCAGCTGCTGTCCTGGGTTTTTTTCTTGGATGTTCCCTAGCTGCCACATTTAATTTTGGAAAAGCAGCAATCTATTTTAATTAAACAGAGTATTGTAGACCTCAAGTCTGGAAGCCACTTCCTTTTTCTTCCTCTTTTCTGGTTTCTGGCTTGTTTTTTTAAGTTGTGAGTAAATTTTAATGTAGCTTGGTTTTTGCTTTATTGAAGTATCTGTCATCATTAATTTTGAAATACAAATGCATTGTTTTATGGAAATGTAGCAGCAAATGTTATCATCTAATCCAGTTCTTATTTTTAGTGCACTCGTGTCATGTGGACTCCACCTCTTCGTGAAAGTTTCTCATACCCATTCCTTGTGCTTCAGATGTTGCTTTTGACCTATATTCTCAGGTACCTCTCTATTTATACTTAAGTCTTTAGAGTGATTTTAAAAATTAAATGTCACAGGATGTTTTATTTACCTGCATTTATTAAAATATTTATATAAGTGCCTCTGTGTGCTATAGCAATGATATCATTTAACATAGAAACTTTCCTGTGGCTGTTACATTGCAGACGCTGCACCAGTAGAACTGCACTCATATTACTTATTAAAAGGAAAAACTTTACAACTTGAAGACATGATTAAGATAAAAATCAGAATTACTGTGTTGGCAAATACGTATCTAAACTAAAAAATCAGAATTTTTGGTTGATGTCTCTTCCTTCCCATGAGAAACAAGCTGGTACTCCCATCAATTGGTTTTGTCCCTCTTGGAGAGTGGTATGTTGGTTGCACTTAGACTAAGCCTGTGCTATGCAACAGAGAATGCTATAGGCACCCATAAGCTACTATGTTCTTGCAGTTTTCTGTGACTAATTACTAGTCTAATTAACTAGTTCAATGATTTAGAGCAAGCTAATTATATTAATGCAGGGGTGCTCTTGAGTTCATTAGCCTTGCTTTTCAGCGGTGGTTTCTGGCTTGCAACATAGTTGTGTTACTGTCTTGCCTCTACTTTGAAAAATAAGCATGGTCCTTAATACTTGGGAGCTTTTCCATCAACTCCACTGTATCAGATTTGCAGTGTGTTTGATGATTTAGCTGAACTTTGTACTTGTAATGCCAGATTTTCCTTTATTAGGTCATACTGATTTGTAGTTGTTGATGATTAAACCAAAAATATTTTGTGCTTGTTGCTAACTTGTGGTTTTTAGGTGACAAAAAGATACATGCTGTCTAGAAAATTTTGAGGAATAGTTTGTAGAGTCATTACTGGATTTCATATTAGGAAGACACCTGTTCATTTAATGCTAAATTGTGAGGTCAAACAAAAAATGAGGAAATTAAACTTTAAGTTAGGATGATCAGAGTGCATATATTCTGTACCTATTATTATGGCACTTCTTGATTAAATAGATTCACTCCTGTTCTTCAAATCTCAGTACTTGGGCTTGCTTACCGATGAGAAGTAAGTATTTAATCTGAGCATTTCAGAGTGAGGTTCCAAAAAGGGGATAAAACATTTTAACTTTGTTTCTCAGCTGTAATTCCTGCTTCAAGAGCAGCTCTGTTTTATGTATAGCAGTATTCCAATGAAATCTAGGAACTATCTTTGAAACAGAGACTGGAACTTCAATTCTCTATTACTTGTATCACTTGTGTCACATTTGTATAATGTATTAATACATTAGACTCATGCTCAGCATGACTTCCAATAGAAGTTAATCTTGAGGCCTTGTAAAAGAAGCTGTTGGGCTTGGGGTTTACAGCAAAATATTTATGGTGTCTTCAACTGTTGGAGGCCTCATAGTGAAATTGGAAACACGACATGTTTCTGAAGCGAAGTCAAAGAGAACATAGGATTAAATAAATAACACAGCAGAACATAGAGAGTGGGCTGGTTTCAGTTAAAGATGAGTTTTGTGTATTTGCTTTGTCTCCTGCCCTGAAACCTCACTCAGGATTGCTATCAGAAAGTAAATATGGAGGAAATGTGAGAGAGAGGAGTGAAATCGCTTTCAAATGCAGCCTGTTCTGAGAATAGTGATCTCAGCTGAAATGGAAATGGTTGTGACCTGACTGTACAGTTGTTACAAGACAACTGGAAGTGACATAGGTTGGCCTGCTACCAGGAGAAGACTTATTTGGTAAAGAGTGACTTGTCAAATTGATAAGAAACATTAAGCATCAGAACTATTGTTTTTGGAAACTGATTGAAAATGGATATGAAGTTTACCTGAGCAGTGTTATTTGTAGTTGATCAATATTGCTAGCTAACTTCCAAGGTAACTTTGTTTTTATTGCATTCTTTATTGTACTTTTCAATAATATGCAGACACCTGTGTAATTTTACTTACTGATCCATATTCTGTCTCTTTTTCCCAAGGATTCCGAATATTAATACAGGAAGCTTGATTGCACTGTGTGTTTCTAATATCTTTTTCATGCTTCCCTGGCAGTTTGCTCAGTTTGTTCTTCTAACACAGGTAAGACCATATTCACCTCTGAAGAGCCTCTTTGTCTTATGTATGCAAATCTACTGCTTTGTGTAGACAGCTGTTGAATTCACAACTATTGGACTTTTCATTCTTGCTCTCAGGAAAGATTTACAGTGTTTATCACATCAGATTTTTTTCCAGCCTTAAATTTAAAAGTTGACCATTTACACCACTTAGTATTCTGTTTCCAGGACTAAAAAAAAAAATCTACTTTTCCCTTAAAAGCAGTTTCCAGACTAAGATCAGTACATTAGAACAAGTGCAGAATAAGAAAAAACTGTGTATATTGAAGTAAAGAAATAAAAAAGACATAGATCCTCCATCTCTTTAGGCTATTCCAGTCTTTAAATGGAGCTATGTTTGCATGGCATGTAATATCTGGCATGATTTTGGATGATGATTTAATTTTGATGAGCCTTTGAGTAGTGGCGTAATCTTACTCTCAGAGTTCGGACAGTTGAGGTACTCTAGCTAGTATTGAAAAATAGTAAATGCTAATGTGAGCAGTAGGATACTGCCACACAGCACACTTTCTCAGCGTTTAAATTGTTTGAAATGTAGCCTGTTGATTGAAATCCATCTATGTTTCCATACCTTTTCACCTGTCTGTCTTACTTGAAGCAGATGTTGCTTGGTTAGAGTTGATAGTTTTGAGCAATGGATATATGCTGTGATATGCAAGTTTTCTAACTGCAGAAGAGGAAGCCATTAAATTCTGTAAAATATTGTGAGAAACTCATCAGTATAATCTTTAAGATGCTGGGCCTGAATTTGAAATTATAGGTTCCATTCATAATTTCATTAATTTCCTATGTGACTTTTAGCAAGATGCCTAATCAATGAATCTCATTTTCCTCAGCAGCAAATTGTAGGTGCTCCCATACTTTGCTGAAAAGTTCAGGTTAAATAATGTTAATGAATTATTTGTCTTCTTTTAAGTCTAAGGGTGTCGGATCATATGTTAGTGCTGTGTTTTGGTGACTTGCATTTTTATAAAACTGAATACTTGTTTCTTAGATATTTGGTAATTGTTATTCAGAGCACCACAGTAGGCTTTTTGAGAGAAACAATTATGAAATGCCCAAATACTTAGTTATCAAAAAAGTAGTGATAAAAGTTATTGATTGTTTGAATAATCTTTTTGTATGAATGCATATTCTGCTAGAAAGAGTACGCCACTGCAAATTGTTTTAACTTATCTTTCACTTCTGATTCTAGATAGCTTCATTATTTGCTGTGTGTATTATGGGTTATATTGACTCCTGCAAATTACAGAAGATACTCTCTGCTCATATGGTAATACTTTTTTTTAAAAAAACCTTAAATCCTCTCAAACAGGTCAGAGCATCAAAGGAGGCCATTTGTCTAGTGTTTTCCTTTTTTGCAAGAGAGTTGAAAAGATGCAATAATAAGGGATGGAGCGACCTGGATTTGAATATTGATCTTATGTATATTTATATCATGGTGTCAGAAACTAGGATCCCTGTGGCATTCAGGAATTTTTGAACTGTATGAAATGAGAAGTTTTCAACCTAAAAGATTTGTAGAAGTATCTGTCCCTCCTTTCTGTCTCTATTCATTCCATGGACTTGAAAGGTCTCTCTTAAACAACAAACTAGAAAACATACCAAGTAACAGAGCATGAGCAATAAAAAGTTGAAAAGGCAGCATCCATCTCATGCCGTAGGTTATCAGAAGCATAAAAATGAGATGTAAGTCAAAATTAGAGAATGGACTCTTTGTCATTCAAGAAGAACCCCACCTAAAACTGGGTTTTGAAGACGACTGTAGTCTTCACCATGCATGTTGTGGTTGAAGCATTTGGGGAGATATTTAGAAGGGAGGACAAAGCAAATGAACTGTTAGTTTGAGGAAAAGCTATTTTTTTCCAAAATGAGCAAGAAAGTCAACAAAGGAACGAGATGATAAGTAAAAGGCATGTAAGTTTCTGCATAATAGATCTAATTTTCATTTTTAAAGTTAGTTACTAAGTTTTGCTACCATGAGTTTTTGAAGCAAGACTACAGTTTTAAATATACAGGAAGATGTAAACAATGTTTTGAAGAAATATGGTTTTCTTTGAAAATATTTCTTTGCTAAAATTGTGCTATGCAAAGTCAGTAGACAAAGAGAGAATGTTTATCACAGGAAAGAAGCTTTGAGATAAATTGTATTTCATGTGTTTTCAAACGTATTTTGAAATACTGTAAATGATAAATGAAAGGCAGTAGTTAGTTCTAAGCAACTCATATCTGATATAAACTAGGGATGCCAAATGCTTGTTCCCAGTTAGATTTACCAGGAAAAATTTCAAATAAGCATCTTGATTTAGTAATTTTTCGACAGAAGCAGGGTGAAATACTTAAGCCTTTTGACTTATGTCAGTGGCCATATAGTTTTGGTGCGAAAGTGTCATAAAAAGCATATTTTCAGATAGATAAATAATCATGTTATATTACAGGGAAAGGTTAATGAGGCTGGGTAAACTGCCAGTCTTTGTTTTGCGCTGTTTTCAATTTTTGTTCCCCCCCCCTCCGCCCCCGCTGCAGCAATTTTCTGTGGAAAATGAAGGGCTAACTATGTGAGGAGGGGAGTACAAAAGTCTAAATATTTTACACATAACTGCATTGTTGTTCCTTATTCCTGTATACAGGAGAAGGTGGAGATTGATCATTGATTTTGCTCACCAAGTTAGATCATGTAATTCAGCTTGCTTTCTGTTAAAAAGAAAGCACAGCAGGAGATTAGGATGGCAGATAAAAGTTGTATTTCAATACAAAGTCAAAGCCTTGACTTTCAATTTCATGTAGTTAAGTGTATATGATCAAACAGTCAGAGTTCTGCTTCCTTGACTTTGGTAGTGATTATATTTTGAATATATGCTTCTCAGTGTGGAAGAAGACAGCAGACATTTTATTGAACATTTTTATGTTTATCCAGGATTCTTTTCAGACTCTTTCGATAACCAACAGGATGGAGAAATAATACAATAATTTGAAAAAAATGAGTGTGTTAGGAATAACTTTAAAAATGTAGCTGTTCTGACGTGTAAGATGAGTTAGTCCTCTGATCAAATCTTTTTGTCTAGAAGTACTTTTAAAATACAGATTAACATAATAAGCTACACTTGGCTACCTGTTGCTACTAGGACCTTATAATCAATGTTTTCCAAACAATTCTGTAAGCTTGAGTATCAAGCTTGCACTTGCTCTGGAGTAGGTGTCTTTAAATTTAAAGCTGTTGACACAGGGTAATTTCTATACTTGGGCAATTCTTACCTTTGGTATGTTAAATTTAATTTTTTTTTTTTCTTCTTTCAGGTATCTCTTATAGTGTGTTTTGTTCTGATGTTTGGTAATTCAATGTTATTGACATCATATTATGCTGCATCTTTAGTAGTTATCTGGGTAAGTTCTTTAATAAAAAAATCATATGACATGCTAAGGCTGTAATGCTGTACTGTTATATATGTATTGATGTAAAATGTGAAATTGCTGCATTGCAAGATAGCTGAGAAATCTTTCACATGACAAACAGACCTTAAAGATAGTCGGAGAATAGGTAAATACTAATTTAAAATATCATGTTATTACACGAAGGCCTCTTCATAAGAGAAATTCAGTTAAGGCTCAGTTTTCTTGTTTTTATAGCTCTCTTTTTGGAAAAATATAAAATTCACCACATATGTATTTTTCACCAGTGTAATTGTAAAACAAGAACATGAGCAAGAAGGAGTTTGTTTTAAGTGCTTCTTTATTGATTGTGAAACTGCAAATGTAGAAGGAATGACTGAAACTGCATAACAATGGTTTAAAACTATTTGAAACTGCTGAGTCATACTGCCATGGTAGTGAAATTATTCGCTGAAGGCTCATCATCTCATCATTCACTATCTTAATTTTTTCTTAAATAGGAAAAACAACCCCCAACCTCTTCCGGTTTCATGTAGTTGCTCTTAAGGGATTTATTTACATAAAAAATAGGAGATAAATTTGTGTGAACAGATCTAGTTTAGCATACCACAAATCATCTCCATTTCTGATTCTTTTTGTCTCAACTAGAAGCTTGGGCTGAGGTCCAGTAGTTTTTTTCTTTTGTTTATGTTTTGTCCATCAGCAAAAGAATGGTAATTTTTCACTTATGCTGACAATAGGCTGCTTTGGCTACTGGTATTTACTGTAGTATAGTTTGCTTGTTATAAACTCACTCTAGTTTCTTGTAGCAGCTTTTGTAATTATGTAGTAAGTACAGGTACATTGAGTTTCTCATCTATTTTCTGCTTTGGAAGAGTTTTTATGTTGGCATGTTTTGCCAGTGCAGGGTGAAATCACAGTATTGTATATTCATTCATATTTCAGGTTGTATTAGTTGTGGACGGTTTTTAATAAATGGCTGTGTTGTACAATAGGCACTTCACAAACAACAAAAAAACCCTTGTCCAGGGTACTGGAATATCTTGTTACTATATGTTACCTGAAAATGCATGTTCATTTTATTATCAGGGAATTCTTGAATTGAGTCCAAAAGTCTTGAAAAGCAGCAGAAGAGAAGTCTACGTATGGGTAAGGAATTTAATATATTTTGAATTTCAGAAAAGAAGTAGGACTTTTTTTTTTTTTTTTAGTGAAATACAGAAATAACTTCTGGTTTAGTTTCTAATAGTTGAAATCAAGAAATACAGATGAATTACTCTCTTTAATAAATTGTCCACATTCTGAGAAGTTAAATTACTGAAGCAAGAAAAAGGGCATAAACATACATTTGTATCAGAAAATTTAAATAGCCTTAAAATGGCAACATGTTTAATTTTGAATTAGCAACTTAAACAAGTTTACAAAACCCAAGATCTTTATGCAAATCCCTTTAAAATAAAGGACAATTTAGAAAAGGCAAATAAAAAGGTAACAGTGCTTGCAGAAATGGAGATTAAGATACTGCATTAGATATTCATTAAAGTGTCCTATATAATTACTATTGCATGCAGTCAATGTGTCCTACTTAAAAAAAAAAAAGGAATGCTTTCCCCCAAAATGTAGTACCATCAAATTTAAGTAGAGAGAGTAAGAATTATTAATGCAAAATAACTAAATAGCTGAGATTTAAAAATAGGTTAGAATTCTACATGTTGTAAAATAAAAGTAAATATGACAAAGCCAGTGAATAGAAGCAGAATATAATTATAGTTTATTTAGCGCCTGTTATGATACCAGCAATAAGCTTGGAAGAGAGAAGAAAGATACTGTGGAAGCAAAAAAAAAAAACATTCAGAAGAGGATTAGGTACCTCCTAGGTATCTAGGTGCATTTGTAGCCATTAAATGGGATGATTGAATGCACATAAAAACCCTAGTTACATCAGGGTGAAGATCAGTTTGTATCTTGTTGTTATATTCTCCCTGAAAGCATCTGCAGCTGGTCCCAGATACAAGATACTGAGACAGGTTGTCCTATTCAGTTGATCCAGTTTTGTAAAGAATTATATAGATTGACAATAATTTAATCTTTCTGGTACAGGATTAAACAAGATATGTAACTAAAATTAGTAGTTGTATGTACTTTCTTTATATTTCACTCAAGTTCTAACTTGAGATTATCTTGAGAAGGAACTATAAATCAGCAAATTCCTCCAAAGATCTGAATTACCAGAGTAGTACAAGCTGATAATATGGAGAGGCTATTGGTAGGAAGTAATCACTACACACTGGTGTATACAAGATGGATAGAATTGAGTTAGGCTGCCCTTGTTTAAGTTAACTTTTGTACCTCCTCTACTACAATGTCATGTGCAGGGGTATAATCATAATATAAATCTGGTGCACAAAATTATTTCAGCTGTAATAGAAAATACAAAAAAAACTTAAAACACCCTAGTGTACTGAAATTTGGGAAATGTAATTGGTTAGAAATTGCTGTACTTATTGGTGATAACATAGAGTTTGTAACTAGTAGCTAAATTTAGTAAGCCTTTTAAAAAAGAAAAGGTTTCTTTAAAAGTTTGTTGAGACATGTTTATTTCATTCTGAATATATTTTTTTAAGGTCATTGAAGGATGTGCCTGTTTATTTGGGACAGTCACATTGAAATACCTGACTTCTTTAGCGTTTGGAATAGCTGATGATGTAAGTTCGCTTATATGAGTATCTGGTTGGTGTCTTTCAAAAATTTTGTGGTTCTTAATATTTTGATTTTGGCTCTTACTGGTGTACTTTATTGAAATTCCAAGATTTGTATTTGCTTTATCATTCATTATGTGGTACCACTTTGAGGTGTTATTTACCAGTGTTCGTGAAACGACAAATGTTTTTACTATTGAGTTAGTAAATGCTCTGTGTGTTTGTGTTTAAATGTGGTTTTATAGATCTTTGTTTATTATTGATATCTTCTACCTACAAAATTATTTACTCAATTTCTTCATTCACTTTCCTCAGAAGGTAATTTTTAAGACAGTTTTGAAATGCATGTTGTAACTAGGACTCCTGACTTCACTTCAGCTCCTTTATGGTCAGTTTCTACTGTTAAAAATCTACCTGCAGATGTGCATCAAGGGGCAAAAGATGGGAAACATATTGTAAAATATGAGTATGCAAAAATATACTCTTGTTAAACCCAGTTGCAACGGTACCAACCTTTTTCTGCTGCTTTCTGCTTTTTATTTAACACCGTCCAATCTGTGTTACACTCAAGGATGACATTTAATATACCAGAAATAGATTTTTGGTGCTGTTATAACAATACTGTAAATGGTATAAACTTCTGTTCTAAATAAAAATATTTCTCATATATATTTAAACTACTTTGTTGTGGAAAACAGGACACTTTTTGCATACTACAGCTTTTTTTTTTTTTTCCTGCATATCCTACCAGACTCATATAGGAAATATATTAAAGTCTAAATTTATTGGCTACAAGGATTTTGATACATTAATGTATACCTGTGCTGCAGAGTTTGACTTCATGGAAAAAGAGGTAATTTGATTATATAGATCTTTATGGAAGAGGGGGACTTACTGTTTTATCTTAATTTATAACCTAAAACATCTGACAACCAGAACCTCCTACTGCCATCATAAGTTCAAGTGCTTACTCATGAAGTTAAGAGACGTTAACAAGCTTAAGCTCAATTTAATTGGTTTTATTGCTTTTAAATGAACTAAAAAAAACACAGTATTTTGATTTTGGATCTAAGAAATGTGCTTGCTTGAATGAAAGAAGTGCTTGCTCAGGGATAAATGAAAGATTACGGTTTTGCAAATTTAAGATTTTATATGGGTGTCAGTAACCGGTTTTGAGTATATGGAAAATGTACTGAGATCTGTGAAGGTCTGGTGTGGTAGATGTAGTCTACAGAAGAGCATCAAAGCTTCTTAATGTGGCATTAGACTTTTTTTTTAGTTCATCAGTATCTAGATGCGGATTTAGGACATTTACAGGTTACTCAACCCATAGTACTCAAATTCATATGAGATACAATCTGCTTTTACTCTTGGGGTGGCTTTTCAAAGAATTGGGAATAATTTACTAATGACCCTAGTATTATGGCCTCTAGTGTGATTGCTTGGGTGGAGTTTAAATTTGAGTTTCTTTAAGCTTGCTTTGTTCTTTTTGCATGTTTAAAATTACATTTTACTTGAGCAAGAACTCTTTATGTTGTTTTCTTTAAAATGACCATTGAAGTAATTATAGGTGAACGGAAAGCAACGAATGCAATTTATTTCCATTGCAGACTCCAGTAAGATATACAAAGACTCTGCTATTACCAGTTGTTCTGGTGGTTTTTGGGGTGATTGTCAAAAGGGTAAGTGATTGATTTAGTGAATCACCTTTACCTTGAATTTACTTTTTAGGTTTTTTGAATGGATCACTATTCTGGGATGGGTAGAAGTTAGTTAAGGGCCCCCAGCCCTCAACCTTGGCTGACATGGGGACAGCCCCTGCTCTGTTTTCATAGAAGCCACCCTTGCAACCCACCTGCTACCAAAACCTTGCCACATAAACCCAAAATAGTTTAGATAAAATTACAGGTTTTCAAAAATATTTGCTTAAAATTCTGTATTCTCTCTACATAGATTTTTGCGAAGGTCCAGTCCTGAGTCAGTGGTAAAACTTGCTCTGATGTTAAGCGCCAAAAAAATTTGTCACTTAGCTGATGAGTACTATAACTGAAGTTTAAAACTGTTTTTGTAGATTTGATTATGTGTAATTTGTGTAAAAATGACTTACAGTTTACACAGGAACAGATGGGATGACTGCTAACTGCCTGGCTAATTAAGCATCCTCAAAAAGAATTTTTAGCTAAAACATTGCATGTCTTTATTTTAGCATAATCTCAAAATTAGATTACCCAGGTGTAATTTAATTTAGCAAATGTTGAAAATGCTCTAGTATGCTTTAGAAAGTTTATTCATACTTTTTGTTCTCTCTTGTTTTCTTTAGGCAATTAAATATGTTATGTGGGTCTTATCTCAGGCAGGCCAATATGAAAGGTAAATATTATCTTCTTTTTTAATGTAAAACTGAATTTTCTGCTGGAAGTTTTATTTGATTAGCTATATGCTAAATAATTCAGAATTCTACATTATGTTGATCCTTTTTGAAGGGTAAGTTATATGTAGTTCGGTAACTGAATGGCCTGGATGTACTATATGTGGTATTTTTATAGGAAGTCTAAAGCAAAGTTTAGCTGCTGAATTTTCTATTTAATAATTTATTTTTCTGCTCTGTTCCTAAGCCAATATTTATTTATGGGCCTAATTGCTTTTCTCCTATAAATAGTGAATGCAAATTCTTTCCTCCCCATGATTTTCTAACAGGTTGTAAAGATACCTGAGTTTCATCTTTAAGAAGGGATCCCAACTATATTAATTTTATTTTCTAAGTAGCTGTCATACGTGTTCTACTTGTCACAGCCATTTGGCATTGCATGTTGATGCTGTGCTCAAGAGCAGTCAACTTGTCCAATTGAATGTTGTCATTTCCCTGACATATCTTTTTGCTTCCTTTTTTTTTTTAATTTATCACTAATCATTTCAGCGATGTCTGCTTTCTGTAGTCTAATGGTCATTAGCAAAATTTCAACAGATACGAGCAGGACTCAGCATCCTGTCTTCACAGATGTTTTTGGAGAGCAACAAGTATACATGACTTTTCACATTCAAATTTCCTTCTGAGAATCCAAAACCAATTTACATAGTACCTGAGTAAATTACTGACTCTTTTTTTGGTACCAGTCCCCTACTTCTTTTATGATACTGAAGTTTCATTCTCTAAATAAACTGTTCTATATATGATATAGTTAATGGAAGTAATTAAAAAACTGCTAAAATTGATTTTCGGATTTCAAAATCGATGTAGAGGTAGAGGAGGATAGTTACTGATTTGCAGTATATTTCAAAGTTTGTTATAGAGGGGAAAAAAATCTCTGCAGGTGCTGACTCATGCTTTCTGGATTAGTTCAGTGGTCTAGAGCCACTGTAGAGGACTTCAAAGTAAAAACAGTGCTTCTGTAGTACATGAATAATGTGATTTTTCTGTTTTTTTACTCAGAGAGGAACGTTTTAACCATGGTGAGGTAAGATTCTTTTTCTTCACAATTTTGTTTGTATGTTAATGTGAATACTCATTATTGAAATACAGGTTGCAATGGTCTGATCCTGATGGATGGTTTATTTGGAGGTAAATATTTGCATCTTTTATTCCCTTGTCTTAAATTGAGTCCATGACTCTGGAATGTTGAACAAAAAAAATATGCTAACTAATGGCAGGGTGGCGGTGCAAGAGAGGAGTCTGGGCTGTTGCTGTAGCAGTACAGAAAGACACTGAAATTTTGCTGGACCTTCCATTTTCCCCATACAGACTGAGAAGGAGATTGGTTCCTTTACTGGGGCTTCACATGATAGATAATGTTAAAATTCTGATTTGAAATATGGCATAATAAAAATAATTATAGACATGGTTCTTCAGATAACATTATGCAAAAAATACAATTGAATGGCAGCTTTCTTATGTAGTTTCTTTATTTGCAGTTAAGTTAGCAAGGACAGTGCAAAATTTTAACAGCAGTTTATTTGTGGTTTTTGCAACGAGAGAAATCTCATGCCATTCAAAAGATGATAATCAATCAGTTAGATAAAAGCACTGATTGCAAAAATGCCTCTGTGATTTACCACAGCACTTCCACAAGTAACATAGATTCAGTGTTGGGAGCGATGAGTGACATCTCTGCTTTTTAACGTTTTTTGAGAATACTACAGTGAGCTACCTGTGGCTGTGTGAATACCAAAGATGATTTTATTGGCTGCTTTAATTTTATACTTAGGTATTTTAGTTATTAAATAGCAAGGTCTCCTCACTTCTATAACGAGATTATACAAGGAATTCTACATATGTTGTTGCCTCTTTATGTTTCAGGATCTTTTATTGTTAATGTTTATCCTTCCTGTTGTTCCATACCTTAGCATACTACACACACTTTAGTAAAAAGATAGCAGGAAGTCCCTGTCACTATCCAAAATGTGAAGGTCTTTACTTTGACTTGGACTCTTTCAGACAAGCTCGTCATTTACGCTATATTGAGAATGAAGTTGTATGTTTAAGACACAAATGCAAATACTGTGCTTATTTTTTTTTTTTTTTTGCAGCTGGTATACCATGCATTGCAGCTGTTGGCATACAGTGTCCTAGCGATTTTAATTATGAGACTGAAACTGTTTTTGACACCACACCTATGCGTTATGGCTTCCTTGGTGTGTTCAAAACAGGTAAGGTCCTTTTTTAATCCTGTGTCTGTCTCAGTACTTACAGTATTACGCAGATGTTTGTCCTAAAGCAGATTTCTCTGTGTAATTGCTAAATTTGAGTGTACCAGTTAAAAATAAAACAGATTATATTGCCTGTCAAGAAATATGATTACACATATTCCATTTTCCCCTCTCCCCAAATAAAGCAAATATCTTGTTTTATGCAACTTGTCCAATTGCGTTATTATACGAGTTAATATGCTGTGTGTTGAGCTTGAGCATAGGGAGACATCCACTGGATTTTACTGTATTAACACACTTCTATGCCATTGCAAGTTTTTTATTGACTATTAGTTTTGTCTGAACAGTGTTTGACTTTGTTTACACTGTTTATCACAGCTCTTTAGAGCCTATTGCCTTGCATATTTCTTGAGTATTAGTTCTTTCCAGAAGTATAGTTTTGAAGTCTTGTGTGTTGAAAGCATTTCATCTTTAAAAATCAAAAGTCATATGCCTAACTCAGATTTCATTTTTGTAGCTTGAAATCATCCATAACATAAAATGTTCCTAGATTTTCTCCGGATATAATAGATCCTAGAATTGGCTTTCCATGTTTCAGTATCTGTGTTTGTGAGAAGTGAATTCCATTGAATCTGTATCTAAACAGCTGTTTCAGAAGCTTTGCAGTTGCAGCAAAAGTAGGGTAAGCAGTCCTTCGGGAAGCAGACAGGAAGGTAGACTGAAAACCGGCCGAAGCGCTGGGACCGGAGAGGGGTGATCAGTGGTATCCCAGGGGTCCATACTGGGTCCGGTCCTGTTTGACATCTTTGTTAATGGTCTGGATGATGGGTCAGAATGTACCCTCAGCGATTTTGCTGATGCTACAAAACTGGAAGGAGTGGCTGGTGCACCAGATGGGTGTGCTGCCATCCAGAGGGACCTCAGCAGCCTGGAGAAATGGACTGCCAGGAACTTCATGCAGTTCAACAAAGGGAAGTGCCAAAGCCTTAAGAAAAAATTAATTTCCTTTTCCACTTTTCCTATTCCGTAAGGTTCACAGGTGTTCTTACGATATTTCCCAGCCTTTTAGTTAGCTGTTGTTCAAGTATTGGTGTCCTCTTAGGTGGTCTGGTTGTTCAAGTAATAGCAGTTACACTGTGGTTAAATTTTTCTTAAAGAACTTTCACGAGGTGTTTCTGAGGAGTTTGAAAGGAAATTGCTTTTCACAAGACAGAAAAGCAAAAAGGGAAAAAAAAATTTCTTCTAACATACGATTTCTAGAGAACAAACACAATATAAATTAATTCTGTCCAAAGTTAATTTGTTCTTAATCCTTCTTCCTTTAACTGTGTGTTCCTAGAATAAAATTGATGGGCTTTTCTGCCCTGTTATTATTGAAAAAATTTAGTAGAATTTTCCAGTGTGTGAAGTTGAGAACTAAAAATATTTCTGTGTTTTTGCCACAGGAAAAGTTCTTTCAGCCTTCTGAGAACTGAAAAACAAAAAAATCTGAGCTGCTGCTTTTTGCTGTAAGGAGAGAAATAGTCTCTGAAAGATGGGAAAAAGTACCTTGCAAGCGTTAGTGACTGAAAGATGAGCTGCTAGGAATGGTTTCTATTAATATGTAGCTTCATTTGTTTTTCTCCCTATAGTAAGTTAGCCACTACAGGGCAAATTAGTAAAAGATTTCAGCTGGTCTTCTTTGTTTTGTTTTGTTTTGTTTTTTTTAAAGCACCTGAGTAATGGCACTACAGTAATTCATCCTGGATCGTTGTGTTTTTTGTTTTAATACTTCAACTAAGGTCATCAGGCCAATTAATGAAAACTGGTGCTTTTGGTAGTCATTGGATTTTGGCTCGTAGAGCATGCCACACATTACTGCTGTGTAAATACTGGAAGAGGGACAGGTTCAGAGTATTTTATCAATATTTTATTTTCTCTGCTTCCAACTGCATTTTGGCCCCTTGGTTTTTCAGCTGTTTCCTGTTGTTGTAGAGTGAGAGTACCTGTGTTCAAGAGTACCCAACTTCAGGTGAACAATGGAAATAAAAAAAATTTTAATTCCTTTTTCTTGTTATCAGTGAGGGTTCTTTTGCCTGTTCGGCGTGTTCCCGACATTGGTGCTGATTGATGCCTGTAACAGACAAGCTGGATTTTTTCTGGCCTGATGTACACTTTCTTTAGTAGGGAGGAGCTGGTAATAATCTCCCAGGTAATACATGACTGGCTTCAGCATGAGAGAGAAACACTGGTCCATAAGGCTGTGAAGCCAGTATCAGTCACACCTCTTCTAGGATGGCTCTGACATAAGCAAGCATAGGGATAAGAAAACTTGTTATGTTTTTAATAGGGTCAGGAAAACATCAAGTGGGTTTTAGTGAGCTTTTTCTGTCTTAGTGGCTGCTGAGCAGGAGTATTTTGAGATTGAAAAATGTGACCTTGTGTGCAGTATTGATTCAGAAGAATTGCTGCGATGGAGGGAGATGAGAAGGGGAAGATGGGATTTGTGACCAAACAATTGATTAACACTCAGTGCAATTATCATTATGTAACGTTTTAGATGATTGCATAAAGGATAAGTTAATAAGCAACAATTTGCTTTTACAGATGCAAGAAAAATTTAAGCAAATTTGACATATGTAATTGTCTCATTATAATTGAGGTTGACATTACCCTTTCCTCTAGCAGACCGTGAAAGTTCACCTGCAGGTGTATGTTAGTGTAACTAATTTATTTTGAGGCTGTAGATAGATAACATGTTAATCAGCTGCCTTTCAAAATATGTCCTTTTGTTAGTGACCAGTCAGCCTGAGAGGGACATTTTTAACACAAACAAGAAATGAACAAACAGGCAGAAGACATACTACAGTTCTTCTGCACATGGAAAAAGAATTTTATGTGTTGTGTTCTTTCAGCCTGTTGCATTAATCTGTGTACTTTCTGTTACCTCAGTGTTGCAGCCTGTGGCACCTCATGGACAATAAAAATAACTGTTTACATCCACACGTTTCCTCTTTCTGTTAGGAGGAATTGTACTATCCTGAGTAGAAATTTTGAAAGGAAAGAAAAATACCTGGAGAAAGACTTAACGTATTCGTTTGAGAACAACTAAAAAGCATTGAATAAATATAAAAAACCACATGAGGAACAACATCCTGTAAAATAAATGCTTCTTTTGCATTGCGTATATGTTTGACCATTAATAAGGTTTTATAAAAGCATTATGGAATGCATGATAGGAATGTGATTTTTTTTGACTTGAAAAGCTGTGGAACTCAGTATAGAATTCCAAAGTTTTGGCGTGTTCTTGAAGTGAGATTTTTGTGACTGTTGGTAAAAAGGAGTTTTGCTCATGTAGAGCAGCATACAAGTGAATTAATTTCCCTTCATCCTTCCAGGCCTATGGGGGTCAGGCATATTCAGTATATTAAGTTTCCCTGGACAGTATTGCTGGTTTTCCTAGAGTGTTTAGCAAGTCTTTGAGGATGAGAGTAGAGTACACTCTACTACTAATCCATATGCTACAGCTAGAAACTCTTGATTTAAATAGGAGATAAAATACTGTAAAAGTGCAGTTGGCATTTGAATCATCTTTACTTGGAGAATTTGACATTTGAACTACAACTTTAAAAGCTGCATTAGTGTCAATTTTCTTTTTATTGTAGAACGACAAATATAATGCCCTACATTCGGTAAACATGAATACTTACAATGTCTCACTAAGGTTTAGTGGAGAAGCAATAGCAGAGATAATTCATATGTGTTAGGTTCCTTACAGAGAAATAAAAATGAATTATGCTGTATATAAAATTAGGGAATTGTTGTCTAGAAATTAACTGCTTCTTGCATTTCAGTTGTTTGGATGGCTCTTCTGTAAAATCCAGCCCAAAACCTTGGTCTTTGCTATTTTAGCATTGATGGCAATAGAGGGATCAGCAAACCTTCAAACCCAGTGGAACATCATGGGAGAGTTTAGCAATTTGCCACAGGAGGAACTTTTAGAGTGGATAAAAGTCAACACCAGACAAGGTAAACTATTTAATAATGTATGGTGTTCCCCATTTACTGTGAGCTGTAACTACAGAACTTTGTATGAATGATTGCAGAGGTATTGCTGCTATCTGTGTCTTTGCCTTGGGACTATCCTAAAACCATGGCTTAGTGACATATACTGGTCTATATAGAAACTATTTCACTTGAAAAAAACACCAAAAGCTTGCTTTGTTAGACTCCAGGCTACGAGTCTGGAGGTTCCAGCCACTGGTGTAGTATTTCTACAACAAAAGTGTTTTTGCAAAGTCCAATGACAATAGGTTTTTACTGAAATGACACTGATCCTGTATGTGTGTCCATGATCATAATTTTGCTAGAAGAGAATTCAAATTGTGTCTGTTGTGGCTGCACCCCCAACTATCCACAACCCATCCTATTACTAAAATGAGTAAAAGTGTCAGAAGACTGCCTGGAAACAAAGTAGTTCCCTTTTTAACTGGAAAATACCTTCAAGCTGAAGTGGACTGAGGTTTTATTGCTCATTTAACAATGATGTAAGAAGTAACAAATAAAAACTTGTTGTCATAATGAATGTGTTACTCTATCCATTCAAGAAAAAATAAGATGTATTAAATCTCTGTTCTTGGATGTTTGGTTATCTAATGACTTAGATTAAGGTTTAGAAAAAAAAAAACACAACTGATTTTGTGCATCTCCTATTGTTGCCGTGTAAGGCCTTTTCAAAAAAAGTACCCTACTCTTTATGCTTTTCTCCAGGATTACTGTTTAGATGTGTGAAGATCGATTCTCTGCTTTTGTTGATCAATTCTTCATTTCAAATATGCCTTTCATTCTGTATTTCAGATGCAGTTTTTGCAGGAGCAATGCCTACAATGGCAAGTGTTAAATTGTCTACACTGCGTCCTATTGTAAATCATCCCCACTACGAAGATGCAGGATTAAGGTAAATGTTGAAGTTGAGGATTTATTTTGATTTGCTGCTAGTTCTCTTAGTGTTGATAATATACAGGAGGAATGGCATCTCATTATATTGTAAAATTTATTAAAAGCCCATAGAACTTGGTTTGTTATTTTATTCTGGTTGACACAATCAGGGAAGGATATTACTGGTAATATAAACAGGATCATGGTTTACAAGTGAAGATTTTCCTTGATTCAGCATAGGCGGACATCAGGTCTTACACTCTGGATTTAAAAAAGTCTAAACAAGGGCAATGAGTGTAACATTCTACAGAGAAACCAGGCAAATGGTTTCTTCTGATCACCTCCAGTCCAAGCAAGGTCATTTCTAGCCTTGAATTGTATGGTGAATGCATTGTTTTGACATCTTTTACGTTTTCTGTTCACAGTAACAATGGATCTTGTTACAAAGTTGTCTCCTGCTACAGAAAAATGAAAGGGCTGTATACATTGTTGTTGGAATCATTATACTTGTGAAGAAATAATTCCATTAAAGCAAATGCCACTATTAATTTAAACTTTGTTTTAGCCTAGTTGTCTGGTGAAATAAAAAAAACCTTCATGTCCAGTCTAAAGTTAAGCATACATTTTCATGCTATGTTTCTAGCTAACCTATATTTCTCTTTTTGAAGGGCCAGAACTAAAGTAGTGTATTCCATGTACAGTCGAAAACCTGCGAAAGAAGTAAAAAGAGAATTGATAAAACTAGGAGTGAATTACTACATTATGGAAGAGACATTATGTGTAAGCAGAAAAAAGTGAGTAATCTGTTTATCACAAGAATTATATGCTGCTAAAATATGTAGTCTAAGATTCATATTAAGTAGTTTTGAAATATTCATCTGTACTTTATTAAAAAGTGTCCAAAGTATATTTTTTCTCCAGATATTAATAAGTATAATAACCTTTACCCATATTAGCATCCTTGTAGTCTTTGTGTGCGCCTGAAAAGCTGTGTTATGTGTGTTTTTAAACTTCACTGTGAAATACAGAAGATGTTCACACAGGAAACAAGTCATTATGCTGTGATGGCAAGGACAGACGTGTGTGTATAATGATAGCCTAATATGAATAAAAGGTGCAGAGTAAAATACAGTTTAAGGACCAAAATATTATTCTATGTTTTTTTCTTTCTTTCTTTTTTCTCGTATAGAACATGATTAGTTTTGGGTTTTGATTTTATTTTCTTTTCATTTAGAATAAAATGAAATGAAACTGATCTATGCTATTTGTCAAAATTGGGAAATTCTTAGTAATTCTAACTTTGAAAGATAACTGTACAGGGAATTGATGTTGGCTATGTGCCTTAATAAAAAAGCAACGAGTTATTACTTTGTATTTTAAAAGGTGTTTTATTTCCTGAGTTTTCTTTAAAAATGTTAGGAGTGTGGATATTACCTTCCATTTTATAGGAGGTTTTAAGGGTCCTTAGTAATGTGTATTGCCTAAGTTGTTTATATGCTACCTACTCCAAATTAATTCTTATTAATTATGTAACCACAAAAGCAGACAAATTGTACACATTCTCAATATTATTTTTAAATTACTACTACTATATTTATTGATTTTTGTAATCCTATAAGAATTCCTAGTGTAAAGGCAAACTTGAAAAAAATATTGATGGCCCAGTCAGGTATTCACAGGGGAGGTTATAAAACTTTGTTCAATAAGCTGTATGGTTTTTGGTGGCATTTCTTCATTTCTCTTTTTGTATTCATGTTTTCTAGGCCTGGTTGCAGTATGCCTGAAATTTGGGATGTTGAAGATCCTGCTAATAGCGGCAAAATTCCTTTATGTACCCTTATGAGCAAGGATTCCAGCCCATATTTCATCACAGTATTTGAAAACAGCAATTACAGAGTCTTAAAGATTCCAAAGGAATAGCATTTCAATGCCAAGAATCATCAGTCTTTCAACTTTTTAAACCAGTAACAGAAGAATTCTAAATCAGAAATTCCTTTTCTACTAGACTTAAAATGGAAAAATGTGTATTTTATTTTTTACCATTTTAAGTGAATTCTGATTGTAGAAAAATCTTAAACCTAACAGTTCGGATTTCTATTTCAGGGTCAGTCCCTTGAGATTTGCTATGCAAATGATTATATGTTTGCACATTTTACTTAACACTGATCCAAAAAGAATCTAAAAGTAGCTATGGAAAGTAACTCCATTCTCAAAACCAATGATATTGTGAAATGGGACTGTCAGAATGTCTTAGCAAAGCAAGTTTGTTTAAAGCTTTGCTGCTAGCAGCCAGGAACAAAGGAATGGTGCTATAGCATCTGGCATCACATTTCTCATGCCACTTTCATTACCCGTCTCCCTTTTGGACAAGGTGATATCAGAAACTATCTTAAAAGTCACATAGTTTCACTAGTCAGGTCTGAGAGAAATATATTTTTTTCTTCTAGAGGATTAAGAAGATTTGTCATTTTGGATCACTTAACACATGCTTTTAAGCTTGCTTTTGAAATGGAAAAGTTTGTAGGCAGACTTGAAACTTCATTATTTAGGTGCATGTTCTTCGAATCTTGTTGATAATAAAAAAGAAGACTAATAAGGGTAATATTTGCAGTGAGCAATAGTTTAGCTTCTCAGCATCCAAGGATTTTTAGCATTCTTATGCATTCAGAATAAGCTGGCATAATATACATGGAATTTTTAAGGGAAAATGCTTTATTCAGGAAAAATCTGTCATAGCCTTAGAAAGATACTAAAATAAATCCTTCACTGCCTTAACTAGACCTCCAGCGCCTAACTTGATAAGAAATTACTTTCAAAATTTATGCCCATGTTTTCTTTCCCCATTTATTAGATCCTGCCTGGATTTTATCATCAGCATTAAAAAAAAATTTAACCCAATTGCGATATGGGTGTAGTCAATTATGTGAGTATAATTGCTCCAAACCTATTAGACTGGTTCTGCAATTTTTTTTATCATCTTGGTGTCACACCAGCATTGTAGGTTATAAAGAATTTAGAGAATTCACTTTCCAGGATACCCAGTGCAAGTACACCCTTTAGTTATTTAACTGACTTGATAGAATTTTTGTACGTTTATTGCCATTGGAGGAAGTATCACAGTAATTGTGATTCTACAGTATAAGACTTCTAAAGTCTGATGTTTCTCTGTGTGTCATTCATGTTTTGGTTTTGTTTTGACTTGGTTTTTTTGGTTCAGACATCAGTCTATTGATATGACTGGTCTTTTTAGCCCTAATAGCATCTAGCAGTGTTAGATGCTGTAGGAATAACATCCATCATGCCTGTAACTGTATCAATTAAATGGGAATCTATGATAAAGTAGTAGTGTAACAACTGGTAAGTATTCTAAGACTTATTTTTTTAAAATCTGTTTTATTGAGAGGGTGAGGGAGAATGGCTGAAAATGTATTAGCTTTTTAACTTTTACAGAATAGATTTTGGAAAAAATTTCTATAAGGAAACTCATAAAAAAAGGGCTTTTGGGAAGTCACTTTTTAAAATGTTAATTGAATTCAAGGAAGCAGGAAAAAATCTTTATATAAACATTGTGACTAGTGTTACAGCACAAAAAGGTACTGTATTTTTATGAAGTTTATGCCAACTGTTGACATGTACTTATGTGGTTAAATAAAAAAGAAAAAGATGGACGTTGTTCTCATGTTTCTGATGGATGTTACGTTTCTGCTCTTTTGGCTGTTAAACTGATGTTCAATAAAGTTGCCACAACAGATATGATTGAAGCTGAACCCTCAACTAAACAATGCAAAGAAGTGCTTCGGATAATTAAACTGAACTCAGACACCTCTTTCCAGCCTCCTTTTTATTTGGAAAATCAGTGCAGGAATATGTGAAAAGACAGTGAGAAAATGTCAAATACCTAATTTTCTAAACTCAGGTAATAAAGAGTGAAGCCCAAATACTGGTAGAATGAAGAAAGATTTGAAAATTAAGCTTCAAAGATGTACTTTAGTAAAATGTTCCTCTTTGATGAGGAGGCAGTTGTTACGGAGCACATTCCCAGACACTGTTTGTAAATTTTCAGCATATGTTGGGAGATATACTTTCCCTCTCTTTGAACTGGTCTTCAACACAAATAATTATTGTTATCTAATGTTAAGATGATAAAATCTAGTAAGGTAAAAATATGAAAAAATTGCAATATATGATTGTGGGAAAGAAATGTGGGAAATTAATTGGGTGTATCAGGTTATGAATTTCTTGTCATCTCAGTAATTTGCTCTCAATTCCAAAGGAAAAAAGATTGAATTTAAGTAATACAACATTTTACATGCAGGAACACCCTGTTAACATTACACTTATCACTGCAACTTGAAACAGAAAATGGAAGTTTGAGATTTCCTTCTTCTCATTGCAGTTGATTTTCCCCTTGCAAGATCCTAGTCAATAAATGTGTAACTCAAGTAAGTTCATTTTTAAATATGTGCTTGCCTTGTTGTAATTTAGACACAGGATTGGAATGCATCAGTACTTGAAAACAGTTTCTATTATGTTCTAGTAATATTGGATCATATAGATTTGTCTGTTAGAATCTGAAATATGATTAGCTTTGAGTGCAATAATAAATTTATTCAGTATAATGGGAACAATTGCAATTTGGTATTAAACTTTTGATAATTGTGCAAATGATAGTATTTAGTATGGAGATCAAATGAGGCAGCTTTGTGAAACAAAGACGCTAATTAAGTCCTGTTTGGTACTGTGTTGCACTTTGTCGTTCTCATCTACCATTTTAAAAAATACCTTTGCTTTTGCTTTTTTTTTTTTTTAATTCAGCTTAAACTGGATTTTTATGGTCAAGCTGTTGAGTTCCACAATGCAAGACTCACTCCAAGTGAAGTAAAGAAAACTTACAGCAAATATATAGGGAGGAGTATAAACATGGGGTTTTCAGAAATCAGCATTGTTGAAAGCAATCACGAAATGCTAACTATGGCTCGGGACCTGTGTTTTCAGATGGCATTGTTCTGTAGTTTCTGTGAATGCTCTTGTTTCACCTAGGTTACATAATGTGAAGGACTGCAGTAAAACAATATGATATTTTTAGACCCCAAAGAATTGAATCTTATTGGAGTTTAGATATTAAGGAATAATTATCCTTTGAATAAAATTAAGAGTGGGGACATAAAATGGCATGCAGAACTTCTAAATCTGAGAATGGGTCGGCTGTGCAGGAATTGCTTGGGCAGTTAAACCTCGTGGTGCTGGAATAAAATTCTCAGCTGTAGCTATACGACCTAAGATGTATTTCTGTACTGTATTCTGCCTAACCTGTGCTTCAGTACAAAGTCAAAGTCAAACATGGTGGTAAACTGTCCATAATAGAGCTTTAACCTGTTGGGTTAGAGCAGAGGAGTAAAAGGATTTACAGGGTTAGGCAGAATCTCCTTCCTTCTCAGCAAATTGGCATGTTTCTGGTCTTGTGCTGTAATTGTCTGTTAGTGATGAAATTCATATAATGTATGAAACTGTCAGTTGTTTAAGTGGGTTCATCATGTAGTTCGACAACTTTATTACTTCCTGTTACAGCATGTATAGAACATTTATTGCCAGTAGATCATGAGAAAATAGATAGAGGCTTCCCTTTAGCCTGAAGAATGCGGAGATGCTTGCTGGATCTCATTTAAAGGTAATACTGAGCCTGAAAGAGGACAGGTTCTAAAGGGAAAACTTAGAAGCCTTTTGATGTTCATCTGGAAGGAAACAAATCACTCAAGTTTGTTGGGCTTGACCAAGGTTATTTTCAAAGCCAGTGCCCCAAATTCTTACTTTCATTACTGATTATCCTTGTGTTTAGACACTGAGCAGAATCATCTTTACGTTACCGAACAACTGGTTGCTCAGCTTCTCTGACTGCCAGTCCCTGGGGTGTCTTAGGATGTGGTTAGCAAGCATTATTTGCAGGCAGTTAGTGTTTTGCTGTGGATATCTCTGCCTGAGCTCTGAAAAAAATTCTAGCCTCTTCTGAAGCTTTTACAGTTTAAGTAATTCGAAAAATTCAACCTTGTTGTTTTTTTCTTAGCTAAAGAAAGGTAGCAAGGGCTGGAAGTACCCCACAGTAGGATGCCTCCTGTTTTTCCCTGAATTAGCTTCATGATGGTGCTTGAGTTACTACCTTGCTTTTCTTTGATTTTGATTATGGAAATATAATGCATCTATTTTTGGAGAAGCTTGTTTTTGTGAACAATGGTAGATAAAGTAAGAAGCTTAGCAGCTGAGTAGAAAATCTCATACTCCTGAAATGTTTTAAAGGCCATTTGACTCAAAACACAGGCTGTAAAAAAACACCAGGAGTTGATGTTTTCTTTAACTTTTGTAGCATTTGTTCTAGATTCTTGCTGGATTTAGCTGCAGCTACCAGGCTACAGGCTGCTGCATACAAGATCTTTGGTTTGATACTCTTTGGCCTTTTTTGTGTTATTGCATAATTTAAAAGGATGAAATATTTTGAGAACGGAGAAAGGGTAATAAGATGATCAAAAGTAAGTTGTATTCCCTGACTTCTTTATCTAGGACTTTAATCTTAGAGTTTACAACCTTCAACGCTTAAAAACAATCAAACATTACTCAGCAAAAGTTGTGCTGTCAGAATCTGTAGCTAATTTTTAAACTAATGAGGTCTTGGCTATTTACATGAATAGTTGCAGATTTGTTACATCCATTAGGTTTTTGCCCGAAATAAAAAGGGATTGTAAAGCTGCCTTTGAATTAGGAGCCTGTGACACGTATTGCCTTCCTTTGAACCCTCGAAGTGTGACTGAATTGGTAATTGAATTTAGAAAGAAACCTGTCAGCGCCGATCGTTTGTTTTGTAGGATTGTCCATACACACGAGGAAGTAGCAAAGCAATAAAGTTCCAATTGAAATAAATTAAAAAGCCTAAACGTCAGTGCAGCAGGATTGCCGAAAGGAAACACGGTTTCAATAAAGTCAGATTGTATTTGGAATGTGTTTTTGTGGTTTGTTTGGGTTTTTTTTTCTATGTTCTATTTCATCTTGTGCTGTTTCACTTTGATGCTGGGAAAGGGGATAAAACTGAACAGAATAGCATAGAGCAAAATTAAATAGCTGTAACTCAGAAGGTGTTTGTGTCTGCCAAACATGACCTGTTTTTTCTAAATCTTGTCAAAATGCTTGGTTTATGCCAGTGAACTAGATAACAGAAACTGTCCATGTTAGCTGATGTTCCTGTAGTGGAATAGTCTGTCATCAGTCTCCATTGCTCTCCACTTCATCTGTTAATGAGTTAAAGCTATCATTGCACCATGTGTGACCTGGCAGGAGGTGGATTTATTTTTCCTGAGGACTAAGCATATTGCTACTATCAGTTAAGTCCAGAAGCGTGTTTTACTGAGGAATTCATTCAAGCTGCTGTGGATCAGAATGACATCTGTGTGATATTGTGGTGGTGGTTTGACCAAGTTTCTCATGCTTTGACTGCAACTTAAGGGCCCTTTGGACAAATGTCATACACTGTATTCTGGTGTGATCCTTCGAACGCAGTGTAATCTGGTCTGTTTGAGGTATAGAACCAAGAAGAGCACAGAGAAGGCATGCTGGAGATCAAAGAGCTTCCTAGAT